GTAAGTATCAAGTAATGGATCGTGCTTAAATAAATTTAAATGAGTTAAAGAAAAACCAATTTAGGAAAACAGAGAGTCACAAATTCAATTAATTCAGTCCATAGAATTTAAATAAAATAATAAGATACGAAAAATTCATAGTGCGTTTTAGGCTAAGTTGTAGAGCCTAATTATCATTATTGACTCCTGCGGCGTAATTTATACCTAAGAATGTTAGTAATAAGTCATAGTACCTTTTTAATTTGCATTCATTGCACTTCGAATATAGGTTAGGGACGGTAATATTCTCCATCTATTAGGTCCTATGTTGGAGATGTTACACAACGAGTGAAACGGTGAATAAAAAAGTTAGTTTTTTTTTTTAGTTCAAATTTTAAATCAATATTGGAAGAATTTATTAAATTCTTTTAAATGCATTACATCGACGTAAGAATGCATCAATAAGATTGTCCAGAAATAAAATTATCATAATTGTTGAATAGGTTAGTTCAAAAATATCAACATAATTGAAAAAATAATTCTACTCTAGTATTTATAGAGGAAGTGATATAACATTTAAGTCGATATGAATTATATATATATATTTTTTTATTCTAATGTCCTTATATCATTTGAATTACATAAACTAATGTAATTGTAGATTTGTTTACATAATTTGCATTGAACATAAGGAGCGTTCCCCCTCTTGTTGTTTATTATAGGAGAAAGAAAGATACGAGAACTAGCCGTCATGCACGCGTGAGATATGATTGCAAGTTTTGGCTTTGCACTAATTAAATTTTCAGTCCACTTGTACTCGTTGGGGAGATACATAGGTAGAATACTTGTCTTAATAGTTACTCCGTCTTTCCAGCATTTTTCATGATTGCTAACACGAGTAAATTATAAATTAGTCTCTCTAATTTTTAGAAACAAATTAATTAATACTTTCATTTTAAAAATTATTATTTAATTCTTTAATCGGTATTGATCTTGATTAATTTAATATTATTTTTATTTTATAAAATATTTTATTTCTCATCAATCTTTTCATTTTTTTTCATTTTTTATTTCTTAAAAATATCAAAATAAATTAATAAAGAACAAAAAGACCAAATTACAAGTAGATTTCAAAACATAGGAACTAAATAATTTATTTCTCGAAACAAGAAAAACTAATTTATAATTTACTCTCGCTAACACACCTATTATTGAAAAGCCTCTTTCGAAAGGAGAAAAATGTCATGTGTTTTTTTTTTTTTTTGTACTCTCTCTGTTTTAAAGATACTATCCATTTTTTATTTATACTTTATTTGTTTAAAATTTTAAATAATATATTTTCTTAAAATCCTTAATTGATCACATAAAAATATTCATTTTTGCATAGACTTTATTGCATGCCAAAATTTTGAGAGTAAAATAATTTTATTATTATGTTATTTTTCCATAATTGTTTAAACTTATAATTAATTAACTCAATAATTTTTTCTTTTATCTACTATTTTAATTTTAGATAGATTTTTTTTCTTAAATTGATCTTGGTTCTATGTAATGTGGAATTAAATTTGATAATTAATCATTTTAACAAAAAGGTATTTCAGAAAAATAAAAATTTTAATACAACATAACAATTAATAAATTTTTTAAATTGTATAAAAAATTAAAGGAGGCAATTTCTTTAGGACAAAAAAAACACTATTTTCAAACTAATTTTTGTGCGCGAGAATAAGGATTTTTTTGGGAAATAAAATTCATCCACCTAGGGATAAAGCAATCATTAGAATTTTACTCGCTCCCAGTTTTAAATGGTTTAAATGTTCGGGATGTTATTCTACTATTTTATTTGTCTTAGTTACGTCTTTTTACTAATTTTTTCAATAATTGTGTTTCTTTACTCTTAATTTGTGTCTTAATTTCGTTCCTCCTGTCAAATTTGTCAGCAATTATAGCAATTTCTAACGACAAATTCACATGATGTTGACACATAATATTAAAAAAAAAATCAAAAAAATCTGAAAAAAAATTCCAAAATGCCTCTCTTTTTCTCTAACTTGAGGTATCGAAATAAATAATTAATTTCTTCTGTTATTATTTTTTTTTTTGCTTTCTCTCAAGTTTTGAAGAAAATAAAAAAATTCTAAAATGTCCTTCTTTTTATCTCGCTTTTTGCATTTATTCTTATGTTATGAAAAAAATTTCATAATTTTTTTTTTTTTTGGTTTAGATTTGAACTAAATTTTCATAATAAAATTTTGAAATAAAAAAAATGTTGATGTTCTTTCCTATAAATAAAAATAATTACAAAAATCCTAAAATGTCCTTCTTTTTATCTCGCCTTTTGTTTTTATCCTTATGTTATTATTTTTATTTTTTTTGGTTTGGATTCAAAATAAATTTTCATAATAAATTAAAACAAATTTGCTTTTGTTCTTTCCTATACATAAAAAATTTTCTTTTTCGGTTTGAATTTAAGATAAAGCAAAAAAAAATGAGGGATTAATAATTATTTTTATACGTAAAGGTAGAGAAACAGAGGTCCATTTCAAAATTTTTTATTTCTTATATTTTTCAATTTTTTTTTAAAAAAAGTTATGTGTCAACATCTTATAAGTCTATCGTCGAAAATTGATACAATTATCAAAAAATTTGACCGAATTGACAAAATAAAAACACAAATTAAGAGTAGAGAGATACGATTAAGATAAATGAAACCATAGGTGGAGACCCAACGGAAATTGATTGAAACAAATGAATGAGAATAGAAGGATGTTTACTTGGTGAGTTGAAACATGCAAGAAGAATGGAAGTATGCTTCAGGTCTAATGTGAATGGCAGTAGGTGGAGGCTGTATTTGTGAAATTTCTTTCGTTCAAACACTTCCTTCTTTAATCTCAGAGATTGCCCTGATGATCTTGAATGAGGATAAAGATTAAAAAGGAACTTTGAATGGTTAGGATTGTGGTGTTCCTTACGTTTATAAGTACTTACAAACAATGGCAATGGGAAGACTTGGTGGTTCGTTTAGGACCTAAAGAAGACTTGCAATCATTCCTAAAACTTGGACCAAGTGATTGTGGATTAAAACAAAAACTTAATAAAAACCCAAAAAAACCTAAACTAGAAATCGCTCTTTTAATCCTCTCTCAATCTTCCTCCCCTCTCATCTCTCTATAATAAAGGCTCAATTTATAGCCAAATTCTAAATAATTCTCCTTCGTAAGATCATTCATAACCAATCTAAACTCTTGCTCACTGCCAATCAAACCTAGGTAGGTACTTGATTTTGCCGCTTATGAACAAAACAAAAAAAAATAAAAATCAATTCAATCTATGTGTTTAGGGTTGTGTAGATGGGTATTGTGAAACATTATCCTTGAACTATACAAGCATATAATTTTAATTTTTCTTATAATTATTTTTATTTTAATCGTTTAGTAATTTTGAAACTTCTTATCTCTTAAGACATTTTGAGCAATTTGAAGAAAAAAATATGTTATATTCTTATATAACTCAAGGGTGTTTTCAACATAAAAAATATCATGATGTCAATTTGGATCGAAATATATTCTTTTCCAAAAAATTAAAATTTTATACTTGTACAATTATATTGATTAATTGTGTCATTAAGTCAAGTTTTTCCATCCAAATTAACAAAATTATTTTTTCATTCTAGAATTGTCCTTGAGCTACACAACCATATAATTTTATTTTCTTAAAAAAATAAATCTTTATTTTTTAAAAAATTTTAATGCTTTAGTAATTTTGAAACGTGTCATTTTTTTAAATATCGTGAGCAAGCTTGAGAAAAATTTCTATTATATCCTTATATATCTCAACGTTATCCTGAAAAAAAAAATGTCAATTTGGATCGATATATATTGAAAATTTAAAACTATGTGCTTCTATAGTTATATTGACATAATTATGTTCTATAGTCAAGTTTTTCCGTCTAAATTAACAAAATTATTTTTTTCATTCTAAAATTGTCTTTGAGTTATACAAGTATATAATTTTATTTTTAAAAAATAAAATCTTTATTTTAAAAAATTTTAATGATTTAGTAATTTAGTAATTTCTTATTTCTTAAGATATTTTGAGCAATTTTTAGGGAAAAAAAAATTCTATTATAGCCTTATATAGCTCATGGACAATTGAGGATGAAAAATATAATTTTATCTACTGGGATAGAAAAATTTGACTGAAGAATATATTAGGGAATTGATTATAATAAAAGAATATAATAGACATACTTAAAAATATAGAGACATATTAGAGACTTGTCTATTTTTTCCTTTTAATGCTTTTCAGTCAAGGAGCTTTCAAGAGTAAATCTTAGGCATGTGACTTACACATGAGGTTTTGATTAAAAAAACGTTATCAGAATGGCTAATTAAATACTATTCAAGAATGTAATAAACTCAATTACAAATACATGGATATATTGAAAACTTGATCTAACATAAAACATATATATAAACATTTATTATTATTTTTTATTACGAAAAGCATTATTGAAATTATTTTTTTATTTCAGGAAGCATTTAATAAAGTTAAAAAACGAAAAAAAACTTTAAAGATTCATAATCAATTTTTATTGCACAAAACATTTATTGAAATTAGAAAAAAATTAATTTCAATAAATGTTTTATATAATAAAAAATAAGAAGAAAAAATAATTAATGGAGTCGATGAAATTAAAGAACGCATGTCCTTTGACTATGTAATTTACTCGATACTGTTAATAAAATTATTAAGAATATATGTATATTAAACAAATTGATTTAGTAAAAAAATTCCATTAACCCTTAAGTTGATAGATGCCCTTCTCCGCTCTCCCATTTCCCAATTACGCGATCACACAAGTCAGAAAGCGAATAATAATTGAGGATTAAACCCAGAAAGCTAAAGGAAAACAACACCCCCCCCCCCCCCCCCTCTTTTTAATGAAATTCTTGGTTCGTTGATCACCCAAACACACCTGAAGAAAGAAAAGCAATCTTTGTCTCCCTCTCTCTCTAGCCATGAGCAGTCTCTTTGGTTTGGGCAGGTAAGTGAAACCTGTTAGTTTCCTGGGTTCTTTTTTGCATTTTCACTAGTTTCTCTTGTTTTCTGGATCACTTTTGATTGATTAGATCTGTATTGACCTAACAATTTTTTTTAACTCTTGTTACTCATTTTCTCTGCAAGCATCAATCTTGATAGCTTACAATTTAGTTATATGTGAACCTATTCGTACAAGAATGGTTTTTTTTGTCACTTGCTTTATAGAGCTAACATTGAAAAGTGAAAAAGGCGTATTTTATAAAACGGGTCAATTGCCAAATTTTAGTTTTTAATTTCTTGATATGCATGCCAAGGCCAATTATATGAAAAATGTTGCTTTGCGTGGATTTAAAGCCGATGTTTATTCATACAAACTTCATTGTTACATTTTCTATTGGTAAATCTGTCTGATAAGCTGCCTGAAAACAGAAATCAAAGGACATTTCGCCCAAAGAAGAGTGCACCATCAGGGAGTAAGGTTATCCTTCTTTAATTGATTAATAATTCTGGTAATGTGTTTTATGATATTGAATGTGATGAATGTATGGCCTTATATCGGGCTATGTTGGATCCCTATGACTTTTCTTAAAGAGAAATGTCTTTAACTACCGGATGATGAGGGCACATTTGGCTAATCATTACCATAGTATGCTCATAGGATATTTTCACTTTGCAGTCTGTTGAGATGCCCTGTTTTATGAATTAAAGTTGTTCTGAGGATGTGGGATATTTTGGATGATTGGTCGACGCGTGAAACATGTATGTGAAAAATTGAAATCTTTATGTGTCAGAGAATAACAGTCATCTTAAACTTCTGCTTTCTGATCCTTTGACAGCAAGAAAATTTTTTTTAGAATTTGACACTTTTACATCAGAATATGATGAACATCGTGTTACACATGCTCTGAAAATGGTGAAGTTCTCCAGCTCTTGAGGTCTTGCTCGTTGGAGCAATCTGAACTTTAAAAGTTTATGATACGGGGGCACTTAGCAGGTTTTATTTGTTTTGGTACTCCTGTGGTCTTCTTACTAGATTTTAGGCCTTTTTAAACAGATATGAAAAATCAAGAATAAAATGAATGTATTATGAAACAATAAAAATGCACTCAAATTATATTATGTGCAAGAATATGATTTAGAAAGAAAACTGGATCTGAATTATGCTATATGTATATACAATAGAAGACAGAATTGAAAACTTGAAAGGTATGCGAAACTCTAAAAAAGTTGAGAGAAGAAATTCACAAGAGCTAAAGAAGGCACGGGAGAGAGACGGAGAAGAAATACTATCTTATACTTTAATAAATGATCTATATCGTGATTAGAATAGATATAACATATAATGCAGGTAGATGGATTTTTGAAGAAAGTATTCTGATCAATGAATGTTTCCTTGCTGTCATCATTGAGCCTAAAACTTTGAGAAAATTAACGATTTCAAAGAGATTTTAGACATAAGAGCATCCTCCAATTCTAAAATGTGCAAAATAGCAAGCGTAGGAGATAGTTTTCATTTTACCCAATAACTAGGATTTATAAGTAAAATGATGAATATCATAACTTATCCAATTTATACTTGGTATCAAAATAATTGATATTAATGAGTAGGATTGCAGTGAATTAGTAATTTAGGTTGTTCCAGGGACTGAAAAAAAATAAAAAAAAGCAAGGTAAATTTAGCGTGTAAGGTGATGAATAGACATGCTTATATGGAAGTTTGCTTTGCGCATATCTCAACACGTGTCTTCATGAATAACAAATACAGAGATAGCAGTTATATGGAAGGTATATATTTGCGCATAACTCAACACGTGTCTTCATGAATAACAAATACAGAGATAGCAGTTGTATGGAAGGTATATAGGGATACAAGGCTGCATTTTCTGTATATGTAAAGTAAAAACAATCTTTAGACTGGAAAGTTAATGACTACATGAAACTTTCCTTAATAAGTTTGGACATAATGGCAAGAGCAGCGCAGACATTGAAACGCATTCTTTTAATATAATTCATATCCAGTAGCTCGAAAAAATAGTGAGGCCACATACCAATTTAAGCATTGAAATGATTAATATACAGCACAGTTCAGTTCTGGCCTGAGCCTATATCTCTTATTTATAATATTAGACATTTGATAAACAGACTCACTGGTGATATTCTTGTTGTATTTCTAACTTGTCATGATGCAGGGTGCGCAACTTAGAAAGCACATTGATGCTACCTTGGGCAGTGGAAATTTGAGGGAAGCAGTGAGACTTCCTCCTGGAGAGGATTTGAATGAGTGGCTTGCTGTCAACAGTAATCTCTCTCTCTCTCTCTCTCTCTCTCTCTCTGCCTGTTTGTGATCTTAGAGTAACATGTTCTAGCACCTTATATTTTTCACCATCAATCTGTTATTTTAGTGTGGATAATGAAATTGCATGGTACTTGAAGTACCACAATATTTAGTTAAACTTTTTTGTTGTTCTTTCTTTAGAGAACTAATTTACTGCAAGCTTCTTTGTAAATTCAAATCTGAAAAGTTTTTGGATTTCTGATTTCAGCTGTGGATTTCTTCAACCAAGTGAATCTTCTCTATGGTACCCTCACAGAGTTCTGTACTCCTGAGAACTGTTCTACTATGACTGCTGGCCCCAAGTATGGATTTTTGGTACTGCTGTTAAGTATTGCTTGCTTATATGTCTATTGTTGATGCTCCACAATATTTTTTTGGATAGGTATTTTGGAAAAAATTTCCGTCATTTTGGTGGCTGGAATACTTTTTCTGTCAAAGCTAGACAGCAAATAAATTTAAGTCTAACAACCAAGGGAGTGACCATAATAGGTTCATGTTTCACATCACCAGAATCATATGAACACCCAAAACCCCCTATTTTTGTGCTTTAGGAAATATGGCATTTTCAACATTTTGAAAAACCAGACTAGCGATGCTAAAATTTAAAGAATTTTTCGTTCATAGTCACCGTGTGGGTCATTCTTAAATATTGTGTGATAGTTAATTTTGAATATTGCCAAACAAGGATGTTTAGATATTCAAAATATCTAAAATAGTTAGATATCTAAAATCCTTGAATTATTAGTCCTGATGTTATTTATCACCAGTGGTTGCATATCGCTTAGTCTTCCACTTGGGTTCTACATATGTATTTTCAACTATTCATGTTCATTGGATTAAGTTCTTTGTAAATTTTGAGATCACTACTCTGTATTAAATTTCTGAACTTGGGCACCATAAATCAAATGAATGTACAAATAGCAAATTAAACTATTGATTTTTTTCATAAAAAGGCGAGAGTTCTCTTCAGCCTTTTTCCAGATTGCTCACAAAGGATCATTGACCAAGTAGATTATTATGGATTTAGCTGCTGGTCCATATTAAGCTATTCCAAGTGTATTCAACATTTTAAGTCTTATGCGTTTGTATTTAAATTATGTGATTTGATGCTTATGAAATTTTACAGGTATGAGTATAGATGGGCTGATGGGGTACAGATCAAGAAACCTATTGAGGTTTCTGCTCCAAAATATGTTGAATATTTAATGGACTGGATTGAAGCTCAGCTTGATGATGAATCCATATTTCCTCAAAGGCTTGGTAATCAACCATTACACTTGTACTTTTTTTTCCCTTGTCTTCCTACTTTATTGTTTTTCCAAGCTATTGCGAATCAAAGGGTACCTAGTTGACTTGTTTGGCCCCAGGACACCTTCAAGTCAGTGACAAACAGTTAGGATGTGGTTGTGTTTGGGCTTAGGTTCAAATCTTCTCTAAAGAATATATATATATATATATATATACATATAAGAATGGTTGGAGTTTTTTTTATGCGTAATAATGAAAGCAAGGGCAATGATTTGGGGATGCTGGTTTATTACCGTTACTGATATGCCGGTTTATTACCATTACGATTGGAAACTGCAGAAGTTTGTATGTTTTAGTAATTCACTGCTGTCATAAAAGGAATCACTTCTCCTAATTTCAATTTTGCAGGTGCACCATTTCCTCCCAACTTCAAGGACGTTGTTAAGACAATTTTCAAACGACTATTCCGCGTATATGCGCATATTTATCACTCCCATTTTCAGAAAATTGTGAGCCTCAAAGAGGAAGCCCATCTGAACACATGCTTCAAGCATTTCATACTATTTACCCATGTAAGTTCTTGCTGCATATTTTGAATATTTTTATATTGCTCTGTTAATCAAGAGGGCCTTTTTTCTTTCAAGTTTCAATTGACCTGATGTGATTTTTTTTTTCTTTTTTCATGCAGCACATATTCTAAACCTCATTTTATTGTTAGAAAAAAAATCTTATTCTTTGTTTCCTTTCCCAAAAAATGTTATATAGGGTTTTCTGTAGTACTGTTTTTTTTCCTCTTACTCTTTCTTTATGACAGAAAAAATTTGAGATCTCTGTCTTACTAGGCTCTATGAAGGATCAGAGCTTGGAAATCGGGGGTGTTAGGGTAAATTTAGAGTACATGAGAAAGGGATTTACAATTTGGAATTAGAATAGAGGATGAAAGTACAAGGGCTACTAGCTTCATGCTAGCAGGTTTTCTAGGAATCACGCCTAGAGGAAGAAAAACCTAAGCATCACACCTAGGGTTCTTAGAAGTCACATTTAACATTGTATCGCATAACCTTAAAAGCATAAATGCTGGAGAATTTATTCATACACCTGTTTCTCCAAAATAATGCATAATAATAATAGGTAATTTATGTACTGCACATATTCCTAAAGCTTTAGATAGTTGGATTTCTAATTAAGAAGGATTTAGACTCTTCAATAAAAAGAAAAATACTACTATTCCTGCATTAAACCTACTTAATTAAGGACAAATAAACGCTAAAACATGAAATTAAAACCTAGACCTTGGCAAGGTCTGACAAATCTGGAAATCACAGAAATACCCGTCTTCAACAATCACCCCAAAATACAAGAATTCTGCTTGTTTAGTTGTCACTGTTTTTTAAGTTGTAGTTCTATTTATTCATCCAAAAAAAAAAAAAAAAAAGTTGCAGTTCTGTTTGTGTGTTTCATGCAGAACTTTGTAGTCAGGCAGTTATTCTTATATTCATTATACTGTTTTTGTGCAGGAATTTGGGCTAATAGACAAGAAGGAGCTTGCTCCCCTTCAAGAGCTTATAGAATCCATTATTGTACCTTACTAAATGGGGTCTGCTAGATTTTACCATAAGGACGCATGGCAAAACCAAATAAGTACTGCTAATCAGAAATTGATTTTACAGTCGCCTTGCTGCTTTGAATAATTAATTACTGTGCATTGCATGTGCTCTAAACTTATATTGTTCAAGTGTTTCCATAGTAACTCTTGGTCATAATGAGTATTATGAAAAACTGTTTTTTTTTTTTTTTTTTTAATTGTTTTTTGTTACAATATGAATAACTGTTTAAAGAACTTTTGTCTGAAAGGGACTGGTGAAAAATGTATAGGCCTGATTTTGTGCTTGGTTGATTTCCAGCCAGAAAGGCATTACTGTTTGGAGCTTCTATTGCCAAAAATTGGCACTTTTTAAATGCAGGAGAGCTGCAAAAGAAGTTAGCAAGTTTCTGATTTATTTCAAAATTACTTCATGGCATGGGATGATTTTGTTGGCTTTACCTGTAGAGCTGTCATAGTTTCTGTTTTGACGAGTTTAAGCGGTTTTCTTTAGTGCTAACAATATTGACGGGAAAAGCATGTGTCTTGTGCCATCTGCTGCTACCTAGCGTCCCTAGAAAATTTGGAGTGGAGTAATTTGGTAGCCACTTGAATCCTTACTTGAAACAATTTTGCTTTTGGGAAGGAAAGTTCGCCATCGTGAAATGTGTTCATGGTGCTATCTGCTTTAGGCATCTCTTTTTTGAGTTTTGGCTGTGAACCCAGATTTTTTCTATTTCCAAATTTTTACCTGCTACCGCTGGGGTTTTCGTAATGTGCATTTACAAATGAAAATGCATTTGACCTTGGTAAAAGTTGAAAATTTTTCGTTCAGTTAAAAAAATTTTCAGAAGAAGCAGTATTATGTAAATTTTACTATGAGAAAGCTTATGATTAGGAGAAGAGACTTTGGAATATTTCGAGTTGAAAATGAAAATAGAGATTCCGTTCCAGGGAAGTCCTAGGAACGTAATATTGGGATCGGATGAGTGGCCACCGAAACTAGGTCCAGGAGAAGACCTTGTCATTGAGCTATTGAAAGGATTGTGTGATTTTATGTAGTACGCAAGTAGAAAGCTCAGGCGGAAGAAGCCGCGGGAACTGGGAAGAGGGAAAAATAACTAGGAAGCTGGCACGGTAATTTAAAGGCTAATTGGTTTGATAGGATACGGTATGATGCATTAATTGTAGATTAGTATCTCAAAAAAAAAAAATTTTTTCAATTCAAGTATTATAATTATTTTTTGGTTTGTAATTAAATATGTCAATCTCATTAACCAAAATTTGGATATGTTTTTTGCACATAATGCTGATATGATCTAATAAATAAAAAATAAGTAGATATTTTGTTGGTGTTGTCTTTGTTTCGACCAACGTGATCCTGTAAAATTATAAAATATTCAATTCCTAAATTAAAATTTTTAATCGGACCTCTTGTTTCTTCCTTTCTCTCTCTCATCTCCCTCACTCTTTTCTTCCTCCACGAGAAATTTTATAATACTAAAAAAAGTAATTCGTATAAATTACTTCATAGAGAGAGATAGACATAAATAGAAAAGAAAAATAAATTTGGGCTAATATGAAAATCTTCTTATCACTTTTAGTGGATCCGGACGTGATTCTTTCGAAATAACTACTATACATGTACACTGAGTTCTTGTTTGAGTATTATAACGAGTGGCAAATCAACAATTATGCTCGAATTTTCGAATATATTTTGCCATCGCCATATCTTCATATTCGAGTTTCAAGAATTCTTAGATGTTTTGAGACTTAACTATGTTTTAGAAATATTTCTCATTGAAAACTTCTTTAAATTACACCTAAGTAAATCGTGGTGCATCTATGGTGACATTTGCCGCTTCCTACAATAAACGTACATCTCTCACTAGCATAAACGTAGCATAATGTCGGGAACTTGGCCTTTCCCAAGCTCACGTGTGTCACTTTGCTCACTTCTTTTCTAAGTCAAACCAAATCAGTCTTCCCCACACAAAGTTATCCAATGAAGAAAGACAAATACAAAAGAAACAAGAACTTTTTATATTGCTCTCTCTAAAGCTTACAACTCAAAGATTAGATTTCTAGAAGTCTAGGTGTCTTGACCAAGTGAAGGCCTCACTTATTTATAGCCTTTCACCTCCTCAATGGATGGCTATGATCTATTTGATCTTATGGTTACTATTGATTCTCTAGAAATATCCTATCTAGATATTTATACGGAACTATCTAGATATCCTCTAGGACATGTTTAGATATTTTCTAAGAAATATCTAGATATACACATGTTAAAATAGTGAGGGATTCTCTAGAATTCTTTAGAACATGTCTAGATTTATCTTCGTCATCCCGCAGGCTTCTCCATTGCTCCATACTCTTTTAGAAGCTTCTATACTTATCTAGCGTTCTTTAGAGCCTCTAGAAAAATCCCTCTTTTAAGCGAGGACGTAACACTCGTCCCCCACCTAATTTGGTGACGTCCTCGACGCGCCTTCACTATATTCTTCGACTTTTCATGCGAATTGGCACAAGGCTTCGGCGAGTTCCCAACTAGCCTCGCTTTCGGGTAATCCCTTTCATTTCACATAGTACTCTTTCCTTGATGGTACTCCACGGTGTCTAATTATGCAATCATCAAGTATGACGTACTCCACGACGTCTAATTATGCAATCATCAAGTATGACATTAACTTCTTTGTCATACGAGTCAACCACTACTTGTAGGAGTCCTATGAGAAACTCCTCGGCTTGGATCCTCCTCATCCGCTTGGTATGGCTTTAGAATACCGACATAAAACACTTGGATAGACCTTTAGCTTCGATGGAAACTCTAAGCGATAGAACACCTCTCCTACTTCATGCACTACCTCAAATGGTCCTTCATATCATCGTATGAGCCCTTTGTGCACCTTTCAAAATGACTTATGTTGTTGTGGCGAGCAACTTCACCATCACTTGGTCACTTGGTTAGAAGGTGACATCTCTTCGTTTTTGTCGACTCACTTCTTCATCTTTTTGGCGACCTTGTTTAAATGCATTCGTGTTAAGTCTATCTACTCTTGCCATTCTTTGACCAATGAATATGCACTCGAGTCGCTTTCTTGGTACTTGTCACCAAGCACCATTGTATGTGGAGTGAGAGGCTGCCGACCCGTCACGAGCTTAAATAGACTTTTGCTAGTAGATTCACCGTTTTGTAAGTTGTAGGAGAATTGAGCAACATCTAGTAACTTGACCCAATCTTGCTTGGTTGGCACTCATAAAATACATGAAGTATGTCTCCAACAAGGCATTAACCCTTTCGGTCTATCCATCCGTCCGAGGGTGAAAACTTATGGAGTAACGACTTATTAACTCGAATAACTCCGTCCATAACTTCCTAGTGAATCAAGGATCTCGATCACTATTTATATGTTAAGACATGCCTTAATACTGCACCACATATTTGAAGAGCGAGTTTAGTAATGTTCTCGACCGTCATATTCGTTGGAGTTGGTATGAAAGTGGCCTACGTAGATAATTTATCCATAACTACAATAATGCTTCTACTTGTTCTTTGATTTTAGCAAAGCCACTATGTAGTCCATGGTGATTGTCTTCATGGTCTCTCCGCGATAGCCAAAGGCTGCAATAGTCCCCGGACGCTCGATTTTCAACTTTGTCTTATTAGTGTTAGCACTAATTTGGGGTCAAAAAAAAATAAAAAGAAAAAGAAGAAAAGAAAAGGAAGTAAAAAATAATACAATTGGGGTGTGCAATTAAAAAAGAAAAGAGAAAGAAACCAAAATAAAAGAGGTTTGTAAAATGAGGGACCAAAAAGATTTTTAGCCAAAAAACCCTAAAAAATCGAGTATAAAAAACAACCGTTTCTCCCCAAAAAAGGCGAGTTACTATTCATCCCTTCTAAGAGAGACCCCAACCGCCCGACCCTTCTCACTCCAGCTGCTCAAACCGCCTCACCACCCTCGGCTATGCCGGTCGCAGCCTCCCCGGCCCAAGTTGCGCGCCCACGTACTTGCGGCCGCCGCCTCCAACAATGCTTGCCTCCTGCAGCCTCCCGCCTAGCCATACACACCGGTTGCGCCCCAACGCCCGCGGCCGGCGGAGCCTTCTCACGCCACCGGCCACGTAGCGGATCCACCACGCCCACAAGCTCGCATACCTCCCTTCCTCATACACGGCGAGCCTTACCGTCCATTCGCACACCACGGCGAGCCAACCACGTATGTTTGCACACGCCACGGCGGGCCTACTCGCACGCAAGCACTACCGGCCTCGCCCAACGTGTGCCTCGCTCTTCAACACCTAGTTAGCACCTCCCCGGTGCTAGCCCAATGTGCTTAGCTAGTAACGAGTTCTCCCAATGCGCTTCGTCCCGATGCGTGCCTTCGCCGGCGGCCATCGCTCACAATAAGCCTTCCCACGCTCCACCGACAGAACACCCTCGGCCATATTTCCTCTCCGATTGACTAAGTACTTGGTCTCCATCGAGGTCAAAAAGGTTAGATCCGACTTCGAGATCATCAAGCAAATCAACTCCGCCTCTTTTTTTGCTTTACGGTAATCTTTTTTACTTTTTTGCTTTATTTTATTTATTTTTTTAACATGTATTAAATTTGATTCATGCTTATATGTGTTATATAATTAATTAAATGGTTATGTAATAATTTGATATGTTGTTCATTTGCTTTGTGGTGATGCATGTTGTTACGTTTGCGATTTGATAAATGACGCGTTGGTTTGGACATTTGGATTCTGTGTATGTATATTTTTTAAAAAATGCATCTTGTATGATGACTTTATTAAAAAAAAATGTCGAACCAAACAAGATTGAATTATTGTCATGTAACTCTGTTTTCGTCAAATATGATTGATTATGTACGTCAAAGTAATTAATTTTATCGATTTTTATGTCTTCTCCATTCTTGGTCTAATTGCCAATTCTTGTCAAGTTTTGCCTACATGTGCTTAAGTTTGCTAATTTTAGCCTATTTTAGCCAAAGTTGTCGA